AGAAGGTTGAGATGCTAGATACATAGGACCTGGCTCCTGGTCTCAGTCCTGCACTGACCCTGCTTCCAAAGTGCTCACACGGCCGCCTGGGGAAGCCCACAGGGTGCCCCTTAGGCCTCTCCCCGCTTGACCTTCCAGCAGCCTCCATCACCAGGGCCACTTCCTCCTTCCATGATATGCCCATCCCTCATGCTCTGCTGTCTTCTCTCTTATCTAGAGGGACTTTCTTCTTTCTCCTCTGGTTCCTCCTCACCATACCTCTGGTGCTGAGGTTCCATGGGCCTCTTCCTTTCTCGCTTGCTCTACTGGGAAATCACATCTCCCCATGGCTTTACTTACACCCATGCTGACTCCCCAGCTTTTATCTTCAGCTCCAACTCCAGCCAACCTGACAACTCTCCTTTGGCATCTCAGAGTGCCCACCAGCCCAATCTGCCCAAAACAGTAGTTTCGTCCCCCCAAAACCTGTTCCTCCCCTCAGTGATGGCACCACCATCTGCCCCATTATACAAACCTCTGGTCATTCTTAACACCTCCCTCTCCCTTATCCCTCACCTCTGGTCCATCACCACATCCTGAATATTCTAATAATAAAATACATCTCCCAACAGTGCCTTTCTCACCATCTCCCTGCCTCTGCCTGGTTCAAGCCACCATTGTCTCTCAGCTGTCCATGGGCTCTGCCCTGGTCTCCTCTCACCATATTGCCTCCTCCAAGCCATTCTGTATCCAGCCCCTGTAGTGAGCTTTAAAAAACCCAAATGGGGGACGCCCGGGTGGCTCAGTCGGTTAAGCATCTGCCTTCAGCTCAGGTTATGATCCCAGGGTCCTGGGATCGAGTCCCACATCGGGATCCCTGCTCAGTGGGGAGCCTGCTTCTCCCTCTGCCTGCCAATCCACCTGCTTGTGTGCTCATTCTCTCTGACAAATAAATAAAATATTTAAAATAAAAAAATAAATAACCTAATGGTATTATCATATCACATCTTGCTAAAATTCTTTCCAGTAGCTTCCCATTACACTTGGGATAAAGTGTAAATTTCTTAGCATGGCCCTCAAGGTCCCACAAGACTCAGCTTCTGACTGTCAAACTGGCCTCAGTTCCATGCACTTGACCCTCAAGCCACGCTGTCTTTCAGTTCCTTAAATAGCCTAAATCCCCTTCTGGCCAGGGCCAGTTCTCTGCCTGGAAATCCGCCTCTACCACCACTCCTGACCTTGGTCTATTCAGACCTTTCTCACCCTCCAGGACTCAGCTCAAGGCCACTTCCTCAGGGATGATTTCTCTGAGGTACCCTCATCTATATGCAGAGCTCTTCATGCCACTTCTTTGTGTAATGCCTGGGTCTTCTGTCCCATTTACCAATGTGCCTCGAGTGCCTAGAGCAGTGCCTGAAGCAGAGCAGGTGCTCTGTAGATCTTTGTTGAATAAATGAACATTAGCTGGGAATGACTTCCAGATATCTGCTGCTCTGGAATGTGTTCTAGTCACCCAGAATCCTGGCAACCTAGAGACAGTTAATAATTTAAAGTATTTATGATTTAATATTTATAAGTCCTAATTAGAATTTAGTCTTAGTGATCAATTTTTCTAAATTAAATTTGTCCTGAAAATAAGTGGAGAAGTAAGTTATCGGCCATTTTCAATGATATACAAGTTATCTGGTGGAGGGGGTTAGGAGAGACAAGTGTTTTGTTTTGTTTTGTTTTGTTAAGATTTTATTTATTTATTTGACAGAGAGAGACACAGCGAGAGAGGGAACACAAGCAGGGGGAGTGGGAGAGGGAGAAGCAGGCTTCCCGCGGAGCAGAGAGCCCGATGCGGGGCTCGATTCCAGGACCCTGGGATCATGACCTGAGCTGAAGGCAGCCGCGTAACCGACTGAGCCACCCAGGCACCCTGAGACAAGTGGTTTAAAAGTCATGTGACCCGTATTGCCGGAAGCAATTTGATGATCTACATCACCAACCTTAAATGTCTATATGAACCTCAGAGCTGGCTGTGGGATGGTAAAAAGTACTCTCCTGCTCCTGACAGAGCTGTAAATATGTATGATCCTTTTGAAAAGCAATTTAGCCATCTCTAGAGCCATAAAGTTGTATTTCTGGTGCTTCTGGATGGTGCCTACCTAACTTCCTCAAGGAGATCGTCCCTGGACCACCCACCATCCGCAAACTGGGCACCCTTTACCTTGTTTTTTGTGACATTTATCATATCTGTAATTATTTGTTCAATTATCTACTATCCCTCTTAGGTTCTAAACTCACGAGGGTAGGGGCAGGACTGGCTTTATTTGTTTCTATATCCTTCGGACTTTATCTTATGCATTAAAATAAATAAATATTTGTTGAATACACTGAATAGAGAAAATCATCCTGAATAAAAATAGCTCTAGCTCCCAATAATGATATTAGCAGTTATCCTTCACGGAGAGGTCACTACGTGCGCGACACTCTTGAGTACCCTCTATGTGGCACGCTCACCGCAGCCCTCCTCCTGCTCCCACAGATGGAAGTGGAGGCCCGACATGCTTCAAAGTTAAGGTCAACCGGCGAGGAAGTGGTTCATCAACACTTTTACTTACAACAGCCACACACTGGAAAGAATCTCACATGTTATTTGAATAGAATATTTTACAGTTCCTAGGGTTCAGGTTTTCCAAAGGTGCGTAGTCATAGAAAGAAGGGGTAGCGGGGCGCCTGGGTGGCTCAGTCGTTAAGCATCTGCCTTCCGCTCGGGTCATGATCCCGGGGTCCTGGGATCGAGCCCCGCATCGGGCTCCCTGCCCGGCGGGAAGCCTGCTTCTCCCTCTCCCACTCCCCCTGCTTGTGTTCCTGCTCTCGCTATCTCTCTCTCTCTGTCAAATAAATAAATAAAATCTTAAAAAAAAATTTTTTTTAAACGAATCTAAGATTTGACGTCTGGACCTATGGATAGCACTGTTTCAGAGCCTGAAAAGAAAACCTCTGCTTTCTGCTAAGTCTGTCTTCATGCTGCCACTTAGCCCCCTCAGACTGGTTGTTCGCTGTTTGAGACATCAAAGCCGACGCGATTCTTCGGTTTAAGACAGTGGTCAGATCTGTCCTACTATTCTGGAAAATGTTAGCTCAGGCTAAAAGTTTCCAGGTATGTTACCCTAAACGTGGCGTTTTGTAGCTGCAAGTGCCCTGTTCCGAGGCCCACACGTGACTAACAGCCTGTAGGGTATCGTGGCCGTTTTATATTTGTTTCATCCAGTGTAGTATGTAGAGGAGGAATTTCACAACTTGAAGACACAGAGGGCTATTACAAAGAAAATGAGAAAATAGCTGTCTTCTGTATTTCCCTTGCTGGCTGCTTCTCTTCTTGATGCCCCCACCAATGTGATCCAGCAGGCCGTTCATCTTCACTTTTTCTCCTAACTCCTCTTACCTCTTATGAAGTTATCTGCTTGTCTGTGATCAGTACCTCTGGCTACATATTGAATCGCCTGGAGAATTTTGAGGAAAAAACCCAGATGCCTGGCCCCTACTTAAGACCAATTCAGGGTCTCTGGAGATGGGGTGTAAGCATCTGTAGTTTCTAGAAGTCCCCCTGAGACCTAGGACAGGTTATCTATGGCTCTTTGGCTGCATAACCTCCCCCGCACTCAGTAGCTCTGAACAAGAGTGATGTTTTATTTCTCACAATTCCGTGGCTTGCTGGAGTGTTCCTTCAGCTGGCCTTGCCTGGGTTCACTCTTGCAGCTGAATGTAGCGGGGGGTCGGCTGGGGGCTGAGCTTAACCAGGACACCTGGGCCTCCCTCCCCTTGGGCTCCTTCATCCTGGGCTTTTTTTTTTTTTTTTTTAAAGATTTTATTTATTTATTTGAGAGAGAGAGAATGAGAGACAGAGAGCATGAGAGGGAGGAGGGTCAGAGGGAGAAGCAGACTCCCCGCCAAGCAGGGAGCCCGATGCGGGACTCGATCCAGGGACTCCAGGATCATGACCTGAACCGAAGACAGTCGCTTAACCCACTGAGCCACCCAGGCGCCCCATCCTGGGCTTCTTCAGGGTGGAATCTGGGGTGGGGGTGTCTCGTGCTTTGCTTTGACTGCTAGAATTGGGCAGCAGTGATGTCATCTGGTGTCCTCTTTTGTTTCTTAGACGGCTGTCGGAAGGCCTTCATGCCCTGAAGAAATTTAATCATTTTGACTCTTCGCAATAATTCGTTTGCCTAATTGTCGTGTTTCTGATAGGATTACGGACAGAAGGGTCCAGGAAGCTAAGTACAAGATTTAGCCTTGGCAACACAACATGGATTCTGACCTTTTTTCTTTTTCTCTAGATAACACACCTTCAGGCACATCAGCTTAGAGAGTCTTCCTCATTCTTCTGCTTTCAAATGTTTCGTCAACCTAGGAAACACAATTTACTCATTCATTCCCAAATAATTATCGAATGCTTATTATGTGCAAGGTCCTGTGCTGGGGGTACAGCCACATCCTTTTGAGGAAACAAGAGAATCCTGAGGTCATGATTCTTATTTTCAGTGGTTTATATCTCTTGTATCTATTGACAGCAGAGGACATTGAAGAGTCAAAAGAACGATTGCTGGGTAATTCCAGAGGATTGCCAAGGAGACCTATTTCAGGGGAGCTATGAGATGTACAGGGACATTGAACCAGCCTGGGGAGGAGATCCGGGGACCCCTCTTTAGGCAGGGACATTTGATCTGAGCCTTAAAGGATGAGTTTACATTAACTAGAAATTGCCCCGGATTTTTCATTCTCCTTTCTTTTCCAGAGTTCTCATCTCTCTCTTTGCCTTCACCAACCACCTGGGTGAGGCTGTAATCATTTACAAGCTGCTAACAAAGAGCTCCTTGAGAGAAGTAAGATCATACTGCTTGTGGTTTCCTTCAACCCAGGACAAGAAACTTCCTAAAGGACAAATTGCTCTCTTTTTCTTGAATCGGAATCAGAGAAAGCTATCCATCACAGCCCCAGCCTAGCAAACCTTGGTTTTTTTGTCTTTTCAGCAACTAAAGCACCCGAACCTCGTGAACCTTATCGAAGTCTTCAGAAGGAAGCGGAAGCTTCACCTGGTATTTGAGTACTGTGACCACACGGTTCTCCACGAGTTGGACAGACACCAAAGGGGGTGAGTGATCATTCCTTACGCACAAAACACAGGAGCGCACACCGGGATTTGCGAGGGAAGATGAGCAGTGGCCCTTTTGCAGACCCGGCAAGAGCGGGTCATGTTTGCACGGCTGGGCCCGACAGCGGAAGGGTTACTGAAAAGGTTGGGAAAGAGATCGTAACTCATCATGTTCACGAAGAAACAGCAGCATAATTAGGCTGAACTTGATTTCTTCGTTATGTTATCTGTGTCTCTGAGAAAGAAAAGGAAGGCTATTGGTTAGTGGCGCCTGATTAGGGAAGGGCAAGGACTTGGAGAGTGAAAGCAGGAGTCCAAAGACAGCAACCAAGAGGAGGTTTCAGGCTAGAACAAACGTGGCATTTCACCTGGAGCGATCTGGGCGTCTGGTCTGTTGTATCGGTCAGGAATTCCTTGGTGACAAGGGACAAGAGCCCACTGAGGCAAGCGTAGGTGAAGGACTGTGACGGTGGCCGTGACTGGGAAGGATGGGGAGATTCTGGAGGCTCTGATGATCTTGTCACACATCCCTCTGCAGTGCAGGCAGCTGCTTTGTGTGCATTACAAGAAGGCTTGGTGAGCAGGCAGAGCCTTTGTCTGCAAAAAAAAAAGGGGGTGTGTGCTCTTTCCTCTGGTTGAAGGTAGCCCCTTGCCAGAGTGAGCGGGGCGCAGGCTGGTTTCGGCGCCCACCCACTCCTCCTTGGCTGGATGTTTTAAAGGCAGAGCACCATCGGTGGTGGATTTTTTTCTCTCTCAACTCTGCTCTATGCTGGCTTCGTTCTGCCTTGCCGATGAGTCTTATAAGGTGGATGTGGGAGGGTATGTGTATGTGGCATGTGATGGAAGGGAAAAATCTGAACTAGGAAGCCTGGCCGCAGGCTTTCTTCAACCTATGTAGCCACTCGAGAGGAAAGTCCTAGAAGAAGGTAGCATCTGCTTATATAAAGTCCAGTGGAAAACTCTGCCTCAGGTCAGGTGATGCAGCTATCCCTGGGGCCAATCGCTGTGGCCAGATGGAGAGGCTAGAATGATGAGCAGGCCCTGGAAGATATAATGCAAAGTGGGTCAGTCAAAGATGACTTCCTGGAGGAAGTGGCCTTTGAGTTGAATGGCGAGGAGACTTAAAACAAGTGAGCAGTGAAGGATATCTCATCCTCTCCTTTTGCTGGGCTCCTGGGAGCCCCGCTTTGGCCGGGGACAATATGCAGAGTGGCGTTGGATATCAGAGTGGTGGCATGCCACCCCATTCCATCTCACATTCACACTCCGGTGGCTGGAGGCCCCGGCTCTTTCAACAATGCCTTCAAGCCCTGGCCGAGAGCTTGCTGTTTGCCATGCGGGGGTACTTACGTGATCAGCCGTGATATCCAGGCAAATGGGATTAAAGTGGCTTGTGGTTTGTAAGTGACCACGGCACAGGCTTTTGGTGTTAATTTACGCAGCCAGAGAGAGCCAAGAGAACAGACACCTCCCTTCAGAAAGTCACTGATACGGAGAAATTGTGTTCAAGGGAGAAAACATTTAGTATGTTGATATTTGCTATTTTGACAGCTTGCAACTGACACTTCAATTAAACCTATTAGTATGAATTAGTCCTGGCTATGTGGTACTAGGGAGATGTTGCAGGGCATTTGGTTAATCATGTAGATTGAGTCACTTGGAAACACGGATTAGTGGGGGGCTAAAAGCAAGTGGGAGTCAGTTCTTTTTTGGCACAGAGTTTGCGCAGAAGGAAAAAAGGACAGGATGAGGCGTGATTAGAGTTTTGAAAGCAGATTTTTTTTTAAACTCCACTGGCTAGAATATGTTATATATGTTCCAGGAAATAGAGAAAATAAGATTTAAATTCTAAGCCAGATGATATATATTTATTTTGAAGTTTAAAGACCTTTTTTGTTAGTTTGTGTTTTATTTTATTTAAGATTTTATTTATTTATTTGACAGAGAAAGGAACAGCGAAAGAGTGAACATAAGCAGGGGGGAGTGGGAGCCCCATTGATTCTAGGACCCTGGGATCATGACCTGAGCCAAAGGCAGATGCTTAACTACTGAGCCACCCAGGCGCCCCTGTTAGTTTGTTTCAAAAATAAAAGTCACTGGGGACGCTGGAGTGGCTGAGTATCTTAAGCGTCTGCCTTCGGCTCAGGTCGTGATTCCGGGGTCCTGGGATGGAGCCCCGAATCAGGCTCCCTGCTCAGTGGGAAGTCTGCTTCTCCCTCTGCCCCTCCCCCTGCTCGTACTTTCTCTCTCTTAAATAAATAAAAAAGCCAACAAAACAAAACAAAACAAAAAAAATAGAAGTTACTTTCCATTATGCTGAATATTTGGCAATACTCCAATCTATTTTAAATGCTATTTCAAATTTTTGCTTGTCATCCTTAAGGAATAAATGTCATTAAACTGTATCAACTAATGATTTTGAAATTCATAGGAACATCTTTTTCAGCTGAGAAATCTCATACTATAAAGTAACACTTTGTAAGCACATTCCCAATAAAAGTGGGTCGGCATCCCGTGTGTGACCTTTGGCAAGATGCTTCTAGGCATTCTCACCTGTGAAAATGAGAGTTTAGGACCGGGTAGAGTTGAAGGGGACTTGCAGGTCTGTGATGCTGTGGCTTGTTGATATAGCCTAGAGGTCAGAAGACTGCTGTTCTCCTTCAGTCTCATGTGTGGTCGGGGCAACAATGTCAACAAGGGCTCAGGTGGGGTCCTCCTTAGGGTGTGGTACGCCTGCCCGGAGAATGTCCTGTGATCGCTTTATTCTAAGTACAGATTTCTAAAATGCAAAGTGGATCATGCCAGTCCTCTACATAAAATCTTGTCATCGCTCCCCAAAACTTATGGATGTGGTCCTAGCAGGGGACATAAGATTGCAGTCTCTCTACAGCCCCATTTCTCATCAGTTTGCCGCATAAAACATGACACTGCCGCCACAGAATCCTTTGCGTTCTGAGCTTCACTCAGGACATGCCGTTTTCTCGTCTGCATTGCCTTTCCTTCTCTACTCTGCCTAGCAAACTCCTGCTTGTCCTTCAGTACAGCTCAAATATGACCCCCTGTGTGCGAACTATTTTAGCGGACACTGAAGAGAGTCAGGAGTTCCTTTCTGTAGCGTCCATCACGTCTTCTGGGATTGTTTCTATTACATACCCCATTTGCAAGGGAAACTATAAAACCTTCAAGGGCAAGGGCTGTGCCTTCCTCCCCTGTGTGTCCCCAGTATCTTCTAGCTTAATTCTTGGCGCTTCTTGGTACATCCCTAATACTTGTTGTTGAATGACCAAAGTTAGCAAACCAGTAAATTGATATTTACAAAATATCAATTTTGTATTTACCCTTCTACAAATGAAGAAGGGTAATGCTAACAGTGTTTTGATGATTTTTCATTTTAAGAGAGTTACTTTGATTAAAAATTCGAAAACCTGCTATTGTCAAAGGAAATTATCAGTACGCTGCTGGAGCAACCTGTCCAGAGGGCAGTTTGGCATTGTGTGTTAAAAGCCTTAGAGAGGGGCGCCTGGGTGGCTCAGTCCGGTAAGCATCTGCCTTCAGCTCAGGTCCTGATCTCTGGGTCCTGGGATGGAGCCCTGCGTCAGGCTCCCTGCTCAGCGGGAAGCCTGCTTCTCTCTCTCTCTCCCTCTGCCCCTCTGCTTCAAAGTTAAGGTCAACCAGCGAGGAAGTGATTCATCAACACTTTTACTTACAACAGCCACAAACTGGAAAGAATCTCACATGTTATTTGAATAGAATATTTTACAGTTCCTAGGGTTCAGGTTTTCTAAAGGTGCGTAGTCATAGAAAGAAGGGGTAGCGGGGCGCCTGGGTGGCTCAGTCGTTAAGCGTCTGCCTTCGGCTCAGGTCATGATCCCAGGGTCCTGGGATTGAGTCCTCACCGCATCGGGCTTCCTGCTCTGCGGGAAGCCTGCTTCTCTCTCTCCCACTCCTCCTGCTTGTGTTCCCTCTCTCGCTATGTCTCTCTCTGTCAAATAAATAAATAAATTAAAAAATCTAAAAATAAATAAATAAATAAATAAATAAATAAACAAACAATACATAAAAATGAAAATAAAAGCCTAAAGAGACATTATCTTAGACCAAGCAATTCTACTTCTAACAATTTACCATAAACGTAATTGAGTACATGCATAAAGGTTTAGTTATCAAAGTGTTTGTTAAAGGATTTATGTGTTTTTTTTAATTTAAAAAATTTTTTTAAGTAAGCTCTGCACCCAACATGGGGCTTGAACTCACGACCCTGAGATCGAGAGTTGCCTGCTCTACTGACTGAGTCGGCCAGGCACAGTGTTAAAGGATTTTTTATAGTGAAAACATTGGAAACACTGAAATGTCCAATAATAGAGGATGGTTAAGTAAATTATGGTATGTCTTTACAATGGAATACAATGGGGCCACTAAGAATCATGCTTATAGATAAAATGTACGTTGAAATAGAAAAATGTTCATGAGTGGTTGCAAAATGAAGAAAAATGCTATAAAAATACATATTAATTTTTATAGAATTTATATATAGATAGAAAAAAGGAAAATAATACCCTATTAATGTTTTAATAGTGATACTTTGAGGTATGATTGTTATATGTATATTTTTAAGATTTTATTTATTTGAGAGAGAGCAGGCGAGCAAGCGAAAGAGAGAGAGCACGAGCGGGGCGGGGGGCAGAGGGAGACGCAGACTCCCCATTGAGCAGGGAGCCTGATGCGGTACTCGATCCTAGGACCCTGGGATTGTGACCTGAGCCTAAGGCAGACGCTTAACCGACTGAGCCACCCAGGCACACTTTATTTATTTATTTTTTTATAGTATTTCCTCCATGTTCCATTTGTCACTATGGTAATTTTTAATCCTTAAAATCATAAAAATAATCCTTGCCAAATCAGACTCAAAGACCTGTCTCTACTTTGAATCTGAAATGGATGTTAATTCATCTCCTTATTATCACATTTGTAACTTCTTGGACTCCTTTAAAATACTTCTG